AATTAACGAGATGATGCAAATCAAATGCATGGTTGACCGACCACTTCTTGGTCAGATGGTTTGATTTGGTTATGAATTCAGTCCTCGGTTGTCTTGTTTGTCGTCTCCATCGTCTTCCTCTCCTTCCGCTGGGTTTGGGTAGGTGGTAGCCACCAGGCCACCGCGTAGAGGGGACCAGCGGCAATTGCATCGGATCGGATCTGGACTCAATTCCCGCCGTTAATCCACCGCCAACCACCTAAGTTCCCACCACGGCTGCGGCGGCGGCGGCGGAGGCGTCGGCCATGCCGGCGCATGTGGCGGTGGAGATCACCGCGCTCCCGGAGCCGCGCGGGCCCATGCGCCGCCTCTGCGGCGACCTCGCGCGCCGCATCCGCCTCCTCGCGCCCCTGCTCCAGCACCTCCAAGACCGGGACCGGGACCGGGACGACGCCTTGCCTCTCGCAGACGCGCTGGGGGCCGCACGCGACCTCCTCCGCGCAGTTCACGACGGCAGCAAGATCTACCAGGTGCGCTGCCTTGCCGCCTTGCTTGTTCATTCATTTTTCTACTAGGACCTAGGGGCGGTATAAGGATTATTATTATTAGGGGTTCCCAGGATTCTGAATTCAATTCCAACCAACCCATGACCATTGAATCATGATCATGAACGAACCAGGCCATGCAAGGGGATGCCGTGCTCCAACGCTTTGCAACTGTCAACAGGCACATTCACCTAGCCTTGGATGCCTTGCCCTACCAAACCTTCGACATGCCTGAAGAAGTTCTGGAGCAGGTACCAACTCAAACCCCTCCTTAATCCTGATCGATCAATTGAACCCATCACCTGCTATGCACTGCACTGACGTCCACCTGTTCAGGTCGATCTTGTGCATTCTCAGTTCAAAAGGGCTGCAACCACAGCTGCTCCGCCAGACGCACAGCTGTCCAAGGATATATGCTCTGCTCTTGCTGACAAGGCCTTTGACCCTCGGGTCTTGACGAGGATCTCAGATAAGCTGCAACTGCACACCATGGCCGATATCAAGAAAGAATCCCTTGCCCTGCATGAGATGGTCATCTCCAGTGGCGGTGAACCTGATGGCTGCGTCGAGGAGATGTCCTCCTTGCTCAAGAAGCTTAAAGACTGCGTCGTCACTGAAGCTCCCACCACAGAGATGCTCAGCACCAGGTCTGCCTCCATAAAGCATACATCTCCTATCATCCCTGATGAGTTCAGATGCCCAATATCCCTTGAGCTCATGCAAGACCCTGTCATCGTTTCCAGCGGGCAGGTACGCATTCCATAATGCAAAGTTGTAACCACTACTCTACTCCTTAGGTACATTGGTTTTAATGAAACCTCTCTTGTCTTATCTATTCAGACTTATGAGCGATCTTGCATCCAGAAATGGCTTGATTCTGGACACAAGACATGCCCTAAGACGCAGCAGCTCCTCTCCCATACATCACTGACACCAAACTTTGTGCTAAAAAGCCTAATAGCACAGTGGTGTGAAGCCAACGGTATTGAGCTTCCGAAGAACAAGGCAAACTCCCGAGATAAGAAAGCAGCAAAAAGCTCTGACTACGACCATGCTGGTTTAGTCTCCCTAATGAACAGGCTGAGGAGTGGCAGCCAAGATGAGCAACGTGCAGCTGCTGGTGAGATCCGTTTGCTTGCAAAGAGAAATGTCAACAACCGGATATGCATTGCTGAAGCAGGAGCAATCCCCTTGCTAGTCAATCTACTTTCCTCTTCAGATCCAAGAACACAGGAACATGCTGTCACAGCGCTCCTTAACCTCTCTATCCATGAGAACAACAAGGCAAGCATTGTAAGCTCTCATGCTATCCCTAAGATTGTGGAAGTGCTCAAAACTGGGAGCATGGAAGCTAGAGAGAACGCAGCAGCCACACTATTTAGCTTGTCAGTTGTAGATGAAAATAAGGTTACAATTGGTGGCGCTGGCGCAATACCTCCACTCATTAATCTTCTGTGCGATGGGAGCCCAAGAGGCAAGAAAGATGCTGCGACGGCAATTTTTAATCTGTGCATATACCAGGGAAATAAGATACGAGCAGTGAAAGCTGGAATCGTTATCCATCTGATGAACTTCTTGGTGGATCCTACTGGGGGAATGATTGATGAGGCACTCACACTTCTGGCTATTCTTGCTGGTAACCCTGAAGCCAAGGCTGTAATTGCGCAATCGGATCCCATCCCGCCACTTGTGGAGGTGATTAAAACTGGGTCTCCTCGCAACAGAGAGAATGCTGCAGCCGTTCTGTGGTCACTTTGTTGCACTGATGTTGAGCAAACAAGGGCTGCAAAGGCTGCTGGAGCAGAGGATGCACTCAAGGAACTGTCAGATTCTGGCACAGAACGTGCAAAGAGAAAAGCTTCTAGCATTCTGGAACTCATGCGGCAAGCTGAAGAAGCATGAACCTGAGCATAGTAGATTTGTGAGGTTGTGGCTTTGTTATATTGTAGACATAGACACTAAATTCTTATGGATAGTGTTGACATTTGAGATATATTTGTAGGCAGATGTGTTAAGAATTTTCTGTAAACATATAAATTGGATGTATAATAATGAAAGTCAGCCCAAAGTGTACTTCTTGTTGATAAAAAGGATAGCAAATACATTTGTATGTGATTCAGTTTGGTGGTTATCATTGTTTCAGGTTTCATGCTTGCAAATTTCATTTGCCCTTGTGGAACATTTCAATAAGTTTAAGAGAAAGGAAACCATAAAGTTGCTTGATGGTTCTGCTCTATGGTTGGTACTTTTGGTGGCTTCATGTTGAAGTAAGTTTGCTCTCAGCAAATTATTACTGAATTTTAGAAATTATTTTAATTGTTTCGTGAAAGTTTCAAGGTTCATTACAAGGCTTAATCTAGCTTGGTTTCCTTAGGGGTTCACATCATTCTGAAATTATCAGAATACCTGTTTTGTTGGAAAAAATTGATCCCGTTTCCCATTTTCTAATTGATTTATAGATTCAGATAAGGTTGAGTTAAGATGATATCCCTTGTTATCTCTCTCCTTTGGTCATTTATTCCATCCTTATGTGAATGTCGGCTCTAAAATTCTTTTATGCCATGGGAATATGGCATTTAACCAACCAGGAACCTGTTACCGTAGCTGTTGATGTTACTCTGTACTTGAGGGAACCAAACAAATTTGGATGATGTCGTTGCATATGTCTAAACGTAAATTTGTTTTGCAATCAGAGGTTTCCAAAAGTTCTTGGAAATTAGGATGGCCTTGCTGGAAGAATAAAAGTGAAGAATCCAGTAACACATCACATTGTTGCACTTGTTTTATGGTTCTGATTTCCATGTCACTAGAACACATAAAAGTTCAGATGTGAAATGGAAAACCAGATGACAAACCAAGTATACTTGATGGTTATGCAGCACGTGGATCACATCACTTTGTTGGTAACTACTTCCATGATCTTGTTATTCTGGAACAAACTACAAACACAAACACAGTGTCACTATTTTGATATGAAAATGACAAGGGAAGGGGCATAAATAATATTTTAATAGCCAAGCTGAATCCACCGCACCACATCACTACATTGTGGTATGCTGAATACACAACACGTTGGTACCATAACTAGATGTCGAGAAAATGCTGTTCACAAATTCTGGTCGTTTTGGATCACATCAGTCATGTCTTGGTATCTTTTTTCCTTTTGGAGGACTTCTGGTGCTCTATCATGGACAGTGAGATTAGAGTACATTGCCGAGCATAATGTCGCTTATGTGAGGACAGGTGTCCCCATGCTGCAGATCTTCTGCAATTCTGGCTAACTCTAGCAGAAAACCATTTCCACAACCTGGACTATATGTAATAGATTCATGTGTAGCTAACATTAATGTACCAGATTGCCCCAGCCCATGAGCCACCGTGTCTCTGGTGAGAAACTGTCCAGGATATGCATTGGTTGGCAATGAAATTCTTATTCAACTGAAATGTCTGAAACATTTTATTTCGAGACCTGCTCCTTTTCCGTTTCTTGGGTGAAGTTTGGGCTATGCTTTTGGTGACATTATGTAATTTTAATGTTAAAAAGTACTTTTATTGTTAAAACAAGTCAGTCTTTCTGCGGCTTTTTGCAACACAAGCTATAGACTTCAGTGTATCTCTCTTGTTTTTCAACCCATGAACTCTCATGGAACGTTTTAGTTCAATACTACGCATTATGCATGGTAAATAGCAAATACTATATATATAACATACAGTTGTAGTTGTAGCCTCGAGATAAAATAGCTGGTGAGACAAGAGGTACAGAAGTATACCATTAAAAAAAGAAGGCTTCTCCTACAGTATGTCAGTACACAGTAACATGCCGTAGCCCAGGGACACCGTTCGTTTGCATGCATCACATGGCCAACCTAAGCAGCGCAAAGGACAGCGTTCCAACTAATCATTCATGCCCATATCATTTGCTTGCTTAATCTTTCTCATCTCATGTGTCTTTGCCCCCTTTGCTTCAATAATCAACACTGCATCTAGCTAGTGTGATGACACAGCTTCTATCTAATCCTTTCACTTAAACTGCTAAACAAATAGGCAAGTTGGTTGAGGGGATCTAAAATGCTGCTGGCCTTGTAGTAGTAGCGTTCGACTTTGACCGCAACTGCACGCACCTAATCAAGATTCTTATACTTGTTACAACCAGAACATCCATTGTGATATTATTCTATCTCCACATGTGATGTTTAACTAAGGCAAATTCCAGCTTAGCTTGTTGGCGTTGCCCACCATGTTGCTACAATCATATGATAGATGATATCGATCCATCTCTTGGGATCCCCATGTCTGATATGATCCCGAGCGTTGGTTAATCCCCGCTAGTTTGATCTCAACCATTGATTGCCTAACCAAACGACCTGCCTATGCTTGTAACAAATCCTTATAAAGACTGCCCATACGCAGGGGATGCAATGAAAGTGAGGTGTCTGGGGTTGCAGCAACAAGCCTCTGCCCTGAGGTGGCATTAGGATGGGGCACATTGCTGAGCCTACCGGCACTGTGGTGATTGGCTGCAAAGTGCTGCCGATCTTCAACGAGCATGGCATTGTTGACAGTGCAATGAAGAAGATGGTGCATAGGATTGATGGCAAGAAGGCAGTTGCGCGGGTTAAGGAGCTTCTGAAACGGGCTGCCCAGGCCAGGCCTCACAGCGCCACTGTCAGTGGAAAGAAATGGAAGGTATATATATGTGGTCCTTTGATCTTACTTCTGCCCCCTTTCATAGGTTAATAGCAGTTTGTTTAGCTGTATAGCACACACCCTGGACTCAGTTTAGGAACTAAATCAAGATTCGAATATTTTGATGTAGCAAATACATAAATGTTTATATGTTGGAATCAAATGTGTTTTTGCAGAAGGTTCTGAGGTTCCACGCAAGGGACAGCGCTGTAGCCACAACAGCCTCAAAGGGAGGCGGCAACAGCAACAGAAGCAGCAACAGGTGTCGAGCGACAAGATAAGCTGCAGCTCGGGCAAGCTGAGCTTCAAGTGGGACGTGGGCAGCTGCTCCTCGTCATCGTCGGTTGTGTATTCGCCGCTGTCATTGATGTCAGCGCCAGCAAAGGCCTCGGAGCAGACGCTGCTGACGCAGTTGAGGAAAGACTACTGCATGTCAAGGCTGTCGTCCATGAGCCAGCAGAGTATGTTGTACGGTGGCGGCAGCCCAAAGAGCTTGAAGAACATGGAAGGAGAGAGGAGGAGGAGGAGGCCTGCAGCTGCAGGACGGCGCAGTGGATCACCACCGATTCAGACTGTGAGTTGTGTCTGCATTGTTTATATGAACATGCATGTGATATGCACTACTGGCACCTCACCTGCTTCTCGATTTGCTTGCAGTTGTGGTGTTGGAGCTGTAAGCTAATGCTCATCAAGACATCAATTAAGCAAGATGTGAGCAGAGACGCACATTTGGTTGCTTAGTTCAGCAGCAGCAAGCATCTGGCTTTTCTGCTGTCCTGATTCTGAAGAAGGAAAGGAAGGAAGGCTGGATGGATGGATTCAACGGCGGGCAGTGCAGTGCTGAATCCTTTTGTTTTGCTGCTCCATTTCCCAATGTGTCGTCTAGTACTAGTACTCAGCTAATCTAATGAATATAGTTACCTTGCCAATTAGTTGAGGAATGCAACATAATAACCCGGCCGGCTCTATCCTGTTGTTCATTCTGACTGACGGATATACATACATATAATAAACCACTTATGTATGTACGTATGTCCTTGGTACCTTGGTTCTGTATTTCCAGGGACGACGACATCGAAATTGTTGAGATGGTTGGTTTGGTTGGGGGCGTATGACTGTTGACACTACTGTGTGGATGTGGATGCTTTGCTCCTTTTTACTTGTATATGGTACGGTGTGTGTATCTATCAGATACTCCGTATCAGTATCATGTTGGATGCTGTTGCTTCCGACCGACAGACTTAGCTGCATTACTTACCGTTGCCCTCTCTCTCTCTCTATATATATATATATATATATATATATATATATATATATATATATATATATATATATATATATATATATATATATATATATATATGCGTTCCCTAGTCAAAGCAAGCGATTTATAATTTGGAATGGAGGCAGTAGAGGCAGTAGTGTATCTTGGAGATGATGAGATGGCATGATGAATCCCATAATGAATATAATAGGTTAATAAGGTCCTCATCTTCTGATGATCGGCCATGTTCGTTTATCTTATAATCCGTACTTTTTAGTTTGTTTTTTCAACCGGAACAGTGTTTTTCTCTCACAACAAATCAGCCGGAACAGTATTTCGACTTGTTTTTTCAGCAAAGCGAACGGGGCCGATGAATATAATGTCGTTGCTACCACATAAATCTCTGCTGCTCTGCCATGCTATTTGCATTTACGTCCTGATGGTGATGTCCATGCGCTCAATCCGCCCTACTCGTTCCTACATGTGTACTGTTCCTATTCCTACTGCTCCACGCCATGGGAGAATTTGCTGCTCCATTTCCTACATGTGAACAGGGCCAAAGTATCTTCACTTTAACAAAATAGTATCAGTATTTATGGCTTCAAATATCTATACACAATGAAAATATATTCCATATCGAATCTAATAATATATATTTAATGCAATAAATATTAGCATTTTTTACAAAATTAAGAGGGTTTAACTTACACTATTCTAGAATTGCATAGTACTTACTCTCTCATGCCTCACACTATGAACTGGCTTGTCTGTCCGTCTATATGTTTGACTTTTGTTTCACAAATCACAAGTGGGTGCAAATCTTCTCAATGTATGTTAAAAAATATTACATTCTCTATATATGTTAAAAAAACTATTGGCTACCACTTTCTCCCTCTTTTTTTGTTTTATTACGCATTTCAATACATGATTGCACTGCCTTCGGCCCACTTCACCAACATCAAAGACGGTTTTGAACGGGTTATTGCCATGAAGGCTAGGACATGTAACCATTGATGTAAGCGGGTTAGCCCACGCGCCCGAATATATAGGCTTAATTTTGCAGGTTGTCGAGAGCAACCCATAAAATTAAGCCTATATGCGGCCTCGCGGGCCAACCCGCTTGTATTCCTAATTGCATGTATTTGTCTCGTGGAGTGTGGCACGTGTGTGTGTGTGTATATATATATATATATATATATATATATATATATATATATATATATATATATATATATATATATATATATATATCCTACCTACGGTTCAAAAATACACAATGTTTTAGAGTGTCACGATAATGAATAAGAAAGTGAATTGAAAGACCTTGTTATAGCCCATTGGAAATAAAGAACCTAAATTCAATAAAGATATGTGCCATATTTCCTTTTGTGAGACTGATGGCATTTCTTAAGCAAGGCTAAGAAAGGAAGGAAACAACGGAATTCATATAAATTCTAAGACAACATGTATTTGAGAGAAGTTAAGAGGGCTCGTATTTTGAATAAGAGTATCAATAATTACATATTGAATATGCTAATTCCTCCCAATAACCAATTAATATATGTGTTACTCAAAAATAGGGACAACCATGTTCGCAACACACTGGCTGCCTACAAATTCAGGGTGTTTTTCCCTGAAAATATGTCACATGATGAATATATCAATACCCTCCATGTTTATCAATATATATAACTTTTAATAGTTGATGGTCAAAACTAAAGAAGTTTAAGGTAAAAACTAAAGAAGAGAAGGGAGTATTATTGGTTTGTTTTTTTGAGAATACTGGAGGGGCTCGCGCCCCTACAGGGATTTTGTTAAAAGAAGTTTAAACAAATTTACAAAGTATTATTAGTTTGTATGCCTCCTGATATTCCAATGCGGGTACTCTTATTTTATCTAGCAAGTCTAGTTTTTAATATCTGCAAGCCCTTTGTCATAATATCTGCAAATTGATACCTGCTGGAACCTGCAGAACTTGAAACTGACCAAGAGCTACCTGCTCGCGTACAAAGTGAACATCAAGCTCCACATGTTTGGTACGACGATGATGAACTGGGTTCTCGGTCAGGTACACCGCTGAGATGTTGTCGCAATAGATGACTGTAGCCTTCTCAATTTTGACATGAAGTTCCTGAAGAAGATTGTGGAGCCAGCAACATTCAGCAGCAGCATTGGCGACTGCTCTATATTCTGCTCCAGCACTTGATCTGGACACAGTTGTCTGTCGCTTGGACAACCAGGAAACTAGTGAATCACCCAGGAACACACAATAGCCTGACATTGATTGCCGCGTGTCCGGGCATCCAGCCTAGTCCGCGTCGGAGTAGGCCTTGAGCTCAGTGGAGGAGGACGCTGAGATGGTGATGCCGTGGTCAATGGTGCCCCGGAGATAAAGCAGAATCCTTTTGACAAGGTTCCAGTGGGCATCAGTCGGCGAATGCACATGTAGACATGCTTGATTTACCGCATATGCAATGTCAGGTCTCGTGAGCGTCAAATACTGGAGAGCTCCTATGTTCGGTTTGGTTGGGGGCGTATGACTGTTGACACTACTGTGTGGATGTGGATGCTTTGCTCCTTTTTACTTGTATATGGTACGGTGTGTGTATCTATCAGATACTCCGTATCAGTATCATGTTGGATGCTGTTGCTTCCGACCGACAGACTTAGCTGCGTTACTTACCGTTGCCCTTCCTGTGTATATATATATATATATATATATATATACACTCCCTAGTCAAAGCAAGCGAGTTATAATTTGGAAAAAAGGCAGTAGTGTATCTTAAAGATGATGAGATGGCGTGATGAATCCCAGAATGAATATAATAGGTTAATAAGGTCCTATATGCGGCCTCGCGGGCCAACCCGCTTGCATTCCTAATTGCATGTATTTGTCTTGTGGAGTGTGGCGTGTGTGTGGCGTGTGTGTAGGTAGGGTAAGGTTATTCTGCAGCTGATCATAAAATAACATATTTTATGGTCACCTCATAAAATAACATATTCTATGGTCACCTTGATTTACAATAATATTTATACCAATTTACGATAACATCAATATGCATTTATGATACTCGTGTTATTACAAGTCACGGTGATATTTACGATAATGTTATAGTAAATCACTTAGGAAGGAGTTACTATAATATCGTATATTAGCATGGTAATTATCGTAACTCAAAGTAGCCACAGATTAAGTTATTCTATAGCCAGCTGCAGAACAGTATATATATATATATATATATATATATATATATATATATATATATATATATATATATATATATATATATATATATATATATATATATATATATATATATATATATATCCTACCTATGGTTCAAAAATATACAATGTTTTAGAGTCCTGACATCAACTAAAGTCCTAACATCAACTAGGGTCAAAGAAGCCGGAACCATCGACCCGAAGATGCAAATATCGACTGATGTATACAGATAGATTAAAAGGAACCGCGACCAACATAAGAGCCGATATGAGCAGGGAGAGACGTCAAGGAACCGGTCAATAAGGCCGCGTGTCACATCTCGAATTTTGTTGAATAAATGGCAACGGTAGAAAGAAAATGATTATCAGCGTTGGTTAGAAGAGAAAGAATACCAGCATCAACAGAAGAAGAAGATGTATGAAAGGAAGCAAGTTGAATCACATTCAAATTGTTCATTTCTTCAGACATTGTTGGAATGAAGGTTTAAAATTGTCTACTAGAAATAATTGCCCAGAGTGCAGTGAGCAATATTGGGAGTTTAGGTAATCTCAAGCCAACCGCCGGTCTATCTATGCTCAAGATGGGTATCATCACAATAATATGGATCGGCGCTTAAAAATAGAAGTGTTCATGATCGGCTTGGGAAGCGAGTTGTTGATCAAAATTGGACTGATTATAAAGAAAAAGATGATGAAAAAAAGTATGTTTGGTAGGAAGGACAATGTTATTCAGGAGGTTTAACAAGAAGCCAAAAAAAAAGGTACAATGCCTAAGGAACAGAGAGCTAGAATAGGTTAGGGCATCTGGTAGACCCCAAGTGTGGCGCGCTAAACAAACAGCCGATAGGGGTCAACCATCGGCTAATATTCAAATGACTTTTCTATTGCCGTCAGAATTTAGAACTCTAGCAGACCAAGAGGTCTATTCAGATTTTGATGAATCAGAGTATGAGGAGATAGTTGCCAAGTTGACAGTGATACAGCAGGCTATATTCGATAAGCCGGTCAAGCATCGACACTTAAAAGTTTTATATATAAAAGGTTTCGTTGATGGAAAGCCAATGAGCAAAATATTGGTGGATAAAGGTGCTTCTGTTAATCTTATGTCTTGTACTACTTTTCGTAAACTTAGCAAGCGACCAAGAGATTTGATTGAGACTAACATGATGCTTAAAGATTTTAGAGGTAACGCATCTAAGACCAGGGGGGCAATGAGCGTCGAATTGACAATCGGAAGTAAAACTTTGCTCAC